AGCAGTGAAGAGGAGGAAAATGTGCAGGGGAAGAAAAAGAAGCAGAGAAAGAAGGTGCGGAGTAATGAGGAGGAGGAGGAGGAGGAGGAGGAGGAGGAGGAGGAGGAGGAAAAGAAAGAAGAGGAGGAGGAAAATCAGGAAGAAGTGGAACCTGGGAGTCAGAAGCTTAGGGATGATAAGGTATGGCGATGTGGCGAGGGGTTGGAGGAGGCACGGTCCAAGAGAATGGAGGCGAAGAGGAAGAGGAGAGAAAAGGACAGAGCGAAGGGGGTGGTACGGGCAGGAGAGGGGGTTGTTGAGCGTTGGGAGAAGAATGCTGTAGGAGGCAAGGGACATGTGGAGGTGGTGGTTGGGAAGAATGATAAGAAGGGTTTGAGTGCGGAAGGAGTGTCTGGTGATGCTGCTGTGAAGCCGACTAGAGGTGGGGAGGTTCCGGTGGAGGGGGAAAGGAGAAGGAAGAGAAGGAAGGGGAAAGAGGAGATGGATGAGGGAGAAGATAATGAGGGAGTAGCTAGGGTTGGTGGTAGCAGTGACTTGCAGGATGGGGCGAGGGTGAGAGATGCGGGTACAGGGAAGAAGAGAAGAGGGCAGGTGTTGGGGGAGTGTGATGGGAGAGGAGAAGGCAGTGGGGATGGAGGAGAGGAGCGGATGGATGTTAAAGGGGAGGGGCTGCAGGAGGGGGAGGACGAGGAGATGAAAGCAATGGTGTCAAGGAGACAGGAGCGGAGAAGAAGGAGAAGGGAAATGAAGAGAGAAGAGAGGGGAGAGGATGCGGGTGTCTTTGGGAGTGGTTGTTCTAAGGGTGAAGGGGAGAAAGCAAAAAGGGTGAAGGTTGAGGGGTTGCAGATAAGCAGAAGGGAGAGTGATGGGCAGAGGGGTGGCACAAGGGCAGAGGGTGGCAAGATGGGAGAGCCCGTTGGAAGCAGAGGAGATGATCTGGGAGAGCCAAGGGGGGTGCCGGTAGGAACTGGAGCATCAGTCGCAGCAGCAGCAGCAGCAGCAGCAGCAGCAGCAGCAGCAGCAGCAGCAGCAGCAGCAGCAGCAGCAGCAGCAGCAGCAGCAGCAGCAGCAGCAGCAGCAGCAGCAGCAGCAGCAGCAGCAGCAGCAGCAGCAGCAGCAGCAGCAGCAACAGCAAGAGCAACAGCAACAGCAGTAGCATCGGCCTCAGCAGCAGCAGCAGGGGTGGCAGCAGAGTGGACCATGGCAGCAAGCCATGGTGGGAGGGAGAACGTGGTGCCGCCACAGAACCATGAGGATTCCTCCAATGCTCTGCATGGGCTGCATGGGCTTGCTGACCCGGCTTCATTCCACCCCGGAGTCGTTTGCTACCCTGCTCACAGCTGGCATTCTACTCCCTCTGTTCCTGCTCACACCCCTCACCCTCCTCCTCCTCCTCCTCCTCCTCCTCCTCCTCCTCCTCCTCCTCCTCCTCCTCCTCCTCCTCCTCCTCCTCCTCCTCCTCCTCCTCCTCCTCCTCCTCCTCCGCTTCCTCCTCCTCCTCCTCCCTCCTCCTCCTCCTCCTCCTCCTCCTCCTCCTCCTCCTCCTCCTCCTCCTCCTCCTCCTCCTCCTCCTCCTCCTCCTCCTCCTCCTCCTCCTCCTCCTCCTCCTCCTCCTTTCTCCGGCATGCTTCATCAGCAACACCTTCCATTCCAGCCGTTTCAGACTGCCACGCTTCCTCCCCACTCCACGCCATCCCACCACCATGGGCATGCGCCACTTGCCATGGGGAGCGTGAGTCACTTGAGACCATATGGGCTCTTCCCTGGTATGGAGTATAGTAGTTGTGGTACTGCTCCTGGATACCCTGTTTTTGGATACCCTGTTCAAGCTGCCATGGTTGTTGCTGCTGCTGCTGGCGGTCATCCCAGTGTCGAGATGTTTCCCAGTGCCCCTTTCCCCGTCGGCCAGAGCTTCCCACCTGTTTCACCTCAAGTGCGCACTGAGTGTATTGGACAAGGGGAAGTCTCCACTAAGCGGCGGCGTGCATTGACTGCAAGGAGGAACAGAGGGCGCAACAACCAACAACGCAATCTGCCGCATCCACACTACTACCCGACGGCGCAATCTGCAAGGAACAGAGGGCGCAACAACCAACAAAATATTTGATTATGACTTGTCAGGACCCCAACACGACTTTAGTTGGAAATCGCGAAGAAATATTCCAAATTTATAGAGTCGGGCAACGTAAAATTGGTCGAAGGTCCGACTGTTTCCCTGTAAAAACAATGGCGGATGCGCTGCGCTGCAGGTGATTGCTGCGACAGAGAACGCTCAGCTAACCAGTCTCAGGTCATAACACAGTTTGCACCTGAAGTCGCACCAACAGCAGCACACAGCACTTTTTACAATTGTGTGCGTTCTGTTTGATAAAATCGATAGGATACCAGGCTTTCTACAATGCTTGTGTCGCTTTCGCGTTAGCCTATACAGTGTAAATTTCGTCCTGTCCCCTCGCCTCACCTCCCACGTCATCCCCAGCCCCGCCCATTTCCAGTCCATGCCAAGCGGCGCTATGTCATGCCATGTTTGGCGTGCGCCTCATCCCAGCAAGCAAGCAAAATCCCCCATCACCACCATCCATACCTTCCCCTCCCCACCCCATCGAACACCTGAAATGGCGCGGAGAGACACACACACATTCCCACTATGAGCACAGGATACAGGGTTTAGCCGACCATACATCAAGCATTCACGTCTTTGCAAGGCTCAGCTCCAAAGCCCTGCCATCAGTCGCACTCGTCAAGTCTCGTCACCTTTGAAGTCGGCTCTCGGCACGCAAAGCCGTTCAGTGTGCCTCTGGCTGGCGTGACTTAGTAGACGGTCAAGTCCTCCACACACCACATTGCTAGGTCAAGTCATTACTGATGCAATCACCGCAATATGTAAGCTCTGCAGATGGCGCATATCCCCTCTGATCGCGGCGCTCGCGCGTATTCACGATCCCTTTACAACTCGGGCAGAGATAATGACAGAGACCAGAGAGAGCACCGAGATTACACAGGCGCGCGCTTCACGTACAACCGCTCGACTCTCTCCAAGACCTATTCTTCGCCAGGCAATTCCCGTCCATCCCCATCGTCGCCACCAAGTGCGTGTTGATTCGACTGGCGTGTCGAGGGTATTAGCGGGGTTCGTCGGTGTACAGCGGGGTTCCGGGTTTTCGCCATTGGGCGAGCACCTTTCTTCTGTGTTCGCATGGAACGGGTTTTCATTCCGCCGTTTAGCTGACCATTTCTGCTGCATTGCTAAAAGCTACCCGCTACCCGCTCCCAACCCCCATATTCACTCTCCCTCTTACAAGCCCCACCCTTTCTTCCACCATCACCACCCCCTCTTCTTACCTTCCCCACCCCCTCCCCGTTTTCCCCTTCCCTCTTCCTCTCCCCTCCCCCCAGCCCTCGAAAGCCCCGACTTTTCCCCGCAACGGGGACAGGACGGGGGAAGGGGAGAGGCGGGGAAAGAGTGGGGGTTAAGAGAGGAGGGCGGAAGGCGGTGCCGCTCCAGTAGCCCCCCCCGGGACGATCTGGGGGAAATTGTGCGCCGGCGGAAGCCCTGGGGGGACGGGCGGGAAGACTGGGAGGGGGACCGAGGGGTAAAGGGGCGAGGAGACACTGCGGCATGGGGGAGGGGGGCTGGGGAGCAGGGCGCTGAGAGGTTTGATGGGATGGGAGGCGGTGGCGGTGGGAGGGGTGACAGGGGAAGGGTTGATTATATCGGGAGGGACGGAAGAGGTGACAATCTCGGGAGGGGCGAGGGGTCGGGGGGCTGGGGAGGCGGAGGCAGGGACATGCCAGGCGTCCGCGGAAAAGGAGGCGCTGCCCACAGAGGCGGGCGCAGCGGCAGCAGCCGAAGCTCCGTCCACAACGCTGGCAGCAGCGGCAGCGGCGGCGGCGGCGGCGGTGGCAGCGCCTTCCCTCGCGAGTCCCATGATTCGCGCGAGTTCCAGCAGAGTGCAATGATGATTCACAACGTGGTTGAGGGAGAGGTGCGCGACGGAGGCAGGGGTGGGGGTCGATCAAGCGGGCAAGCGCGCGGAAACGCGCAGCAGCAGGCGGTTGGGGGAGGCGGAGAGGCGCGCGCAGGGGGAAACAGAGATAGCGGCGGGATGGGGTTGCACAGGCGCGGAAGCGAGGGGCGGGGGGGAGGCGGACAGGGGGAACTGTTGGGAGGACTGGGGGGAGAGGTAGAGGCGCGCCGAGTTGCGGGCAACGGCACCTTGGACTGCCCGTGGGGGGAGCGCGAGAAGCGCGAGGGGCGGGACGGGCGGGATGGGCGGGAGGGGCGGGAGGGCATGGGGCGGAGGCAGGATGGTGGGGGTCACGAGGGGACGCTGCGAGATCGTGCAAGGGGTGAAGGCCTGGAGAGGCAGGGCGAGGGACGGTATGGGAGGGGCAGGCAAGGCGGAGGTGCAGACGGGAATCCGCCCTTGGCTGCTGCTGCTGCTTCTGCTGGTGATGGTGGTGGTGGTGGTGGTGCTGCTGCTGCTGCTGCTAAATCTGCTGCTGCTGGTGATGGTGGCAGTGCCAGGGGCCAGGCCGGAGGCTTCGAACCTTTCGCTGACGCTGCTGCTGCTGATTTCGCCGCTCTGACCCGGTTGCACGAGCACAAGTTCTATCAAAGTCCCGAGGCGTACTTTATGGAGGATGAGGTTCCGCTGGCGCGAGGGGGGGGGGCGGGGGAGCAGGGGCTGCGCGGGAGGCAGAGGGAGAAGGGGAGAGGGGGAAGGGGGATGGGGAGCGGGAGCGGGACGAAGTATGGCGCTGTAGCTGCGAGGGAGGGCAGGGAGGAGAGGAAAGGGGGGAGGGAAGGGAAAGTGGGGAAGGAGGGCGAGGAATGGGAAGAGGGGAAAGGGAGAGCGGGCTGGAGGCGTAGGGATGATAGGGAGATGGAACAGGGGAGGAAGGGATATGAAGAGGAGTTGTGTGGAGCAGGGGATGTGAAAGGTTATGAGAGGATGCTGAGTGAAGGGAGGGAGCAGAGGGAGCAGAGAGGGGTGAGGCAGCATGGCAAGAGAGAACATGACAAGGGGCATGATGCGAGTGCGAGGTATGAGAGGAGGCTTGTAGAGGGGTATGGGGAGCAGAGGGATGGTGAGGAGAAGAGGGGGCAGGAGGCGAGGGAGAATGGCGCGAGGGAACGCGTGAAGAGGGCGAGCGTGACGAGGGAGGAGGATGGTGAACGCATGAGACAGAACGGGCATGGGGAGCGTGGGAACAGGTTAACTGAGAGCGCTGCTGCAGCTGCCACTCCTTCTGCTGGCAGTAGGGCGGACTCGACGACTCTACAGGCAAGCATAGCAGCACCAACACGCTCTGGTGAGCCTGCAGATCGCAACAAGTCAGGACCAAGCCCAGACGTCAATGCCAATGCCAATGCCAATGCCAATGCCGATGCCAATGCACATGCCAACGGTAACGTTAACGTCAGCGTCAACAGGGCCTCAGCTTCTGTTCCTCAGGCTGCTGCTTCTGCTGCCGTTAAACCTCCTCACGAGCAGCTGTCAGCAGCGGCAGTGCGTGCAGCAGCCAGTGCGCTCGAGGCAGTGCAGTGGGCTCAGGCTGTGCTGCGACGGAAGATTCAGGAACGCACTGCTGCTCAGGCTGCTGAGGCTGCTGTTGCTGCTTCTGCTTCTGCTGCTCGTGCTGTTCCTGTTGCTCCTGCTCCTGCTACTGCTGCTGCTGCTGCTCCTGCTGCTGCTCCTGCTGCTGCTGCTGCTGCTGCTGCTGCTGCTGCTGCTGCTGCTGCTGCTGCTGCTGCTGCAGCTATTGCACCTGTTGCTGTTGGAGCTGCAGGAGCACCTGCAGCAGCAGAAGCAGCAATGGTTCCTCGTAATGCCAGCGCCGCTCCTCTGCTGCCTGTGTTTGTAGACCGTGAAGGGATGCGGGCAGCAGCAATGAAGGCACCGCAGCAAGACGCAGCGGGGAAGGTGAGCGTGGGTGAGGGCAAGTTAGGGAGACAATTGGAGGAGGAGGTTCAAGTTCGTATGGAAACAAGACGGAGTAAGAAGGGGAAAAAGATAGAAGAGGAGGAAGAGGAGGAAGAGGAGGAGGAAGAGGAGGAGGAAGAGGAGGAGGAAGAGGAGGAGGAGCACGAGGGAGAGGAGCAGGAGGAGGAGGAGGAGGAGGAGGAGGAGGAGGAGGAGGAGGAGGAGGAGGAGGAGGAGGGGGAAGAGGAGGAGGAGGAGGAGGAGGGGGAAGAGGAGGGGTACGAGGAGGAGGAAGAGGAAGAGGAAGTGGAAAGGGAAGAGGAAGAAGAAGTAGAAGAGGAGGAGGAAGAGGAGGAAGTGGAAAGGGAAGAGGAAGAAGAAGAGGAAGCAGAAGAGGGCGATGCAAGAGGTCTGGGGGAGTGGCATGGCAAACGAAAGGGGAAACGGGAAGATGTCCGTTCAGGCCCTGCCAAGAGGACAAAGGTGAAACTCGAGGGGGGAGATACACGGGAAGAGAGACCAGGGGAGCGAGGAAAGGGTGAAGCGGGACAGGTGGAAGGAGGAAAGGTTGAAGGGGAAAAGATGGAAGGAGGAAAGCATGTAAGTGAGAGGAAGGTGGAGAAGAGTAGGGCAGGGAAGGGCGAGGAGCGAGTGCAGTTGGAAGAAGTGAATGCTGCTGTTGGGATCTCGGTTGAAGGAGGCAGGAAGGGGAAGAAGGAGGGCGTAGTAAGTGTTACTGCGGATGGAGTGAGAGAGGAGAAGAGGGAGGAGAGGAGGAAGAAGAAGGGGGAGAAGAAGAGGAAGTGGTTGGAGAAGTTGAGGAAGTGGAAGGAGAAGAAGGAGAAGAAGAAGGAGAAGAAGAAGGAGAAGAAGAAGGAGAAGAGGGAAAGAGCGGCAGCAGTTGAGGGGGGAGGAGGTGATGGTGATGCTTCTCCTGCTGATGCCGCGACTGTGGCGGCTGCAGAATCTAAACGGGATGGTGGGGAGAGCAACGGTGTGAGGAGCAGCAGTGTTGATGCTGATGGTAATGGGGGAAAATATGCTGGTGGTGGCGGTGACGGTGGCGGTGGTGGTGGTGATGGTGATGGTGACGGTGGTGGCGGTGGCGGTGGCGGTGATGCTGGTGATGGTGAGGGCAAGTTGGAAAGCAAAAGGAAAATCAGGAGGGAGAGGAAGCGGAAGCGACGAGAGGCAGAGAGGGCAGAGGCTGCAGCAAGAGCGGCAGCTGAGGTAGAAAAGGAGGAAGGGGAGGAAGAGGAGGGAGAGATTCCGTTGAACGTGGTTGGAGCAGTAGTGGGAGTGAAGGGGATGGAGGAGGTGGAGGGAGACGAAGAAGCAGCGGCGAGAAAGGCTCTTGATGATGCTGCAAGGAGAGAGATTACGGAGGAGTCTATCTCTGCATTTGCGACTTTTGAGACGTCTCAAAAGGCGCCGAGAAAGGTGGCGAGAAAGGTGGCGAGAGAGGCGGCGAGACAGGCGGCGAGAAAGGCGGCGAGAAAGGCTCTAGATGATGCTGCATGGAGAGAGATTACGGAGGAGTCTATCTCTGCCTTGGCGTCACTTGATGCGAGGG